CATTGTTTTTTTTTTTTTTTTTTTTTTTTTTTTTGCTCATATCGCCACCGAGGCCACCAGTTACCCCAGATCTTTTACATAAAAGCAAGAAGATAGAACAAAAGTATATACTGGTCCATCAAATCCAATACAGAGACAGTGAAATTCTCCAAGTGTATTTCCATTTATCGTGTACTGAATCTACTGTATGTAGACTCCAAAGTCTTGAGTCAAAAGGATATTTTGTTTCTGTTGGTTTTCACTAACTTAAATTTGGCTGTTAACAAAAGACAGTCCATATTGAGGACTGCAATGATGATTTCCAGAAACACCAAGTTTCTGGAAATAATTGCTGGAGGAATACCAGTGGAGGACTCAGCACACAGTTGTCACACTCTTCCTTAACCATTGCCAATGGTCTCAACAGTCTTGCTTGACTCATTATGGGAGCATTTTCTTAGGCAAAGTGATTAACGTGCAAGCTGTCCACAAGGTAGAGATGGAGGCTTTGGGTTTCAGTCATGCTGAATTCTTGGACAATAGCTAAAAATCCGTCACGGCCCCTTGCAACTATTGTGATTGATTCTTATTTCTTCCCCCACTGCCATCAGGTAAAGCAAGGGTAACGTTATTCTCCTATTATTTCACAGAAAAACTTGTGGGCAAATAATCTTTTCAGGGCACTTAAACATCACCATAGTGAAGCTCATACAATTGGCAGACAAGGTACTGGTTTGCTTAAACAGGACAAAGCTGCATGAACTATTCAAAACAATCAAATACAAGTGGTGAAAATGGACTGAGGATTCCAGCTGAATAGAGTTAGACACAAGAATCCAATGTCACCACAGTACTTATGCCAGGTCCTAAAAACAGGTTACTGGCAAAGATTACATCTTTAGTATCAGGTAATGCTTTTTGAAACAGCAGTAAGAGTCAGTAACGATATTCTACCAAGACAAAATGGAAGATCAGTGATGGCAGCAAGTGTCAGAAGGAACAAGGTGGAGAAGACGACACATATCTGGCAAGCCAGCCTTTCTGCTGCCACTTAAGTGTTACTGAAAAAAATTAAATTAAAACATTCCCTGCATCCAGGCAACAGGGAAAGACACAGAAAACTCAGCAGTAAACACTAGAACTATCCATTGTGCAGTGGAGAACAGTTTTCACGAAGCCTATTATTCTGCTTTTCATGAAGCCTATTATTTTATACACCTTCACATGCTTGAGCAAACACTCTTTTCAAACCGCATAACGAAGCAATACTTATTTTTTAATTGGACAGGCACAGTGTTTGCAACACTGCCTGTGTTTACCTGCCTGGGTACTCACTTCTTTTTTCAATGGAACATCAATGTTAAAGTTGGTTGCAAAAACCTGAAGTCTTTAGAACATTATACATATTATAAACTGAGCTGTTTACATTGCTTTTTTTGCTGTTTTCAGTAAGCAACAAAAGGAGCTGTATGTTGGCAATCCCCTATCTTCTCAATAATCATCAGAAAAAATTCTACTATGTAAAAAATTGGTAATATTTCCATGAAGAAAAATAAAATGTAGAAAAGACTACTTGAAAAAATCCTTACTCTTCAACATTAAAAAAGAAAAATCCCCAAAATAACTTTGTTGAAAAAGACTTTAAAATTAACCCAATCACATGTCTGAACCTATAATTTCTCTGAAGTTTATGACATGGTGTTGAAGTCTTTGAGCATCATGTATCCCAGAAATTATATTCTTACTGATTTTGCTGTAACTTTTCTGCTGCTGAGCCATAGTTACAAGTTTTTTGGTGTACCCACACCCATTGTAAAATTAAAGGATCTAACATGTTCATTTCAAAACATCATTAGGAATGGAAAGCCACTACTACTACTTTTCTGTCTCTATTCATAAACTAGAAATACCCGTTTACTGTGACAATTATAGAATCACAGAATGGTTAGAGTTGGAAGGGACCTTTAAGATCATCTAGTTCCAACCCCCCTGCCCTGGGCAGGGACACCTCCCACCAGACCAGGTTGCTCAAAGCCCCATCCAGCCTGGCCTTGGACCCCTCCAGGGATGGGGCATCCACAGCTTCTCTGGGCAACCTGTTCCAGTGTCTCACCACCCTCACAGGAAAGAATTTCTTTCTAGTATCTAATCTAAATCTACCCTCTCGCAGTTTAAAACTGTTACCCCTCATCCAATCACTCCACTCCCTGATAAAGCATCCCCTTTTAGGTACTGGAAGGCTGCAATAAGGTCTCCCCGGAGCTTTCTCTTCTCCAGGCTGAACAACCCCAACTCTCTCAGCTTGTCTTCATAGGAGAGATGCTCCAGCCCTCTGATCATCTTTGTGGCCCTGTAGTATGCATCTTTGCTGCATACTGCACTGATGTTCAAACTGACAAGATTATTGCTATTCCAGGCACACATCTGTGCAATAAGGTACTGAAAACCTGTTATGTGATTGTAGTTATGGTACAGTGAAATTAGAATCTATGATAGTTAAATATTTTGAGTTACAAGTGTGTGAATGTCTCTGTTCCAGAAAGAGCTGGGGCTAGAGTTTAAAAAAAAAATAAAATAATCCCACAACCTAAAGAACAACCAAACAAAAAATCCCCAAATTCAAGCCATTGATAGATAAAAGGGAAAGTGTGAATAACCTTGCTAAGAAGCTAACCGTATACATCAGTATACAGAAGTGCTGAGTAAAAATATTTTTATTTTTTTTTAAACAGGAAAACAGAAAAGTTTACTTGCTAGCATTTGTGTCAAGTATGCAACAGTATTTATTTCCATGGCAGCTTCAATACTTCAGGGTAAAACCCACTCAGCAGAAACCCACATGATTTCTGCAGTTAAATTTGCGCATTGTTTTTCATACCCAATAAAAAAAGCAAACTCACCAGGGTACAGAAGATGCATTGGCATTGTGCTATCGTTGTCATCTGCTCCACAGGATATTCACCGAGGCAGAGCTTGCAGGACACTAATGGGTCTAGTACCAAGTCCCAGGTAGGCCTATATCTTGCTGTAGTCATTGCAGAGCAGTCTGAAAAACAGCAGAAAAGTAAAGATACTCTATGACTTCCTTATATTGATACTCAGCTTCTCATTTCTGATACTGAAAACATTATTGTCAGCTGCTGCCTGTTAGCTATTAGGAAAAAAAAAAAGCTATACAAACAACAATGGCTAGTTTGACAGTATCAGTGCTTCCAGAGGCTATACATCCCCTGCCCGATGGAGCATGCATGTAACAAGCAGAAGGAAAAAAAAAAAAAGAGCATCATGTATCCCAGAAATTATATTCTTACTGATTTTGCTGTAACTTTTCTGCTGCTGAGCCATAGTTACAAGTTTTTTGGTGTACCCACACCCATTGTAAAATTAAAGGATCTAACATGTTCATTTCAAAACATCATTAGGAATGGAAAGCCACTACTACTACTTTTCTGTCTCTATTCATAAACTAGAAATACCCGTTTACTGTGACAATTATAGAATCACAGAATGGTTAGAGTTGGAAGGGACCTTTAAGATCATCTAGTTCCAACCCCCCTGCCCTGGGCAGGGACACCTCCCACCAGACCAGGTTGCTCAAAGCCCCATCCAGCCTGGCCTTGGACCCCTCCAGGGATGGGGCATCCACAGCTTCTCTGGGCAACCTGTTCCAGTGTCTCACCACCCTCACAGGAAAGAATTTCTTTCTAGTATCTAATCTAAATCTACCCTCTCGCAGTTTAAAACTGTTACCCCTCATCCAATCACTCCACTCCCTGATAAAGCATCCCCTTTTAGGTACTGGAAGGCTGCAATAAGGTCTCCCCGGAGCTTTCTCTTCTCCAGGCTGAACAACCCCAACTCTCTCAGCTTGTCTTCATAGGAGAGATGCTCCAGCCCTCTGATCATCTTTGTGGCCCTGTAGTATGCATCTTTGCTGCATACTGCACTGATGTTCAAACTGACAAGATTATTGCTATTCCAGGCACACATCTGTGCAATAAGGTACTGAAAACCTGTTATGTGATTGTAGTTATGGTACAGTGAAATTAGAATCTATGATAGTTAAATATTTTGAGTTACAAGTGTGTGAATGTCTCTGTTCCAGAAAGAGCTGGGGCTAGAGTTTAAAAAAAAAATAAAATAATCCCACAACCTAAAGAACAACCAAACAAAAAATCCCCAAATTCAAGCCATTGATAGATAAAAGGGAAAGTGTGAATAACCTTGCTAAGAAGCTAACCGTATACATCAGTATACAGAAGTGCTGAGTAAAAATATTTTTATTTTTTTTTAAACAGGAAAACAGAAAAGTTTACTTGCTAGCATTTGTGTCAAGTATGCAACAGTATTTATTTCCATGGCAGCTTCAATACTTCAGGGTAAAACCCACTCAGCAGAAACCCACATGATTTCTGCAGTTAAATTTGCGCATTGTTTTTCATACCCAATAAAAAAAGCAAACTCACCAGGGTACAGAAGATGCATTGGCATTGTGCTATCGTTGTCATCTGCTCCACAGGATATTCACCGAGGCAGAGCTTGCAGGACACTAATGGGTCTAGTACCAAGTCCCAGGTAGGCCTATATCTTGCTGTAGTCATTGCAGAGCAGTCTGAAAAACAGCAGAAAAGTAAAGATACTCTATGACTTCCTTATATTGATACTCAGCTTCTCATTTCTGATACTGAAAACATTATTGTCAGCTGCTGCCTGTTAGCTATTAGGAAAAAAAAAAAGCTATACAAACAACAATGGCTAGTTTGACAGTATCAGTGCTTCCAGAGGCTATACATCCCCTGCCCGATGGAGCATGCATGTAACAAGCAGAAGGAAAAAAAAAAAAAACAGCAGCACATAATACACTGACAAAATATGAGAGCCAGCAGGAAATATCCTTAGGCCACAGACTTTTGTCCAACGTTACACATGCAAAAATCTCATTCCCAACTCCTTCCATTTCCACCACTAGTTACAAGCTTGCTTTCACTGATATTGATCACCCATCACTTAAAATACATTCCTTAAGCCGCACAACTCCAGCTACACGGGCAAGACTCACACAGTCTCTTTCATGACCCGAGCATCTATTATGCCCTATTTGCAGCCTGATGATATTGCAACTCAAGCAGAGCCAGGTATTTTTGTTCCCAAGAGCATGACAGATCGATCAGTTCGCTAAGTTAATTTTAGAAAGAATGGTGAATATTCTGAGTATCCTCAGATGTTCTTAGCCTGCATTTTTCTCCCAACACTCACTATATGCCAAGAGCAAAAATTTGTTGCAGCAACAACCAACTAGGGGAAATAAACACACAAAAAATGAGCTATAAGAGGAGGCTGTAATACCTATATATCACCCTCAAGACAGCAATAGGATAGGACTACGCAGAGCATCTTCACCCTGGGCTTCAGGGCCCAGATGGAGACTTGTCAAATGACTAACCAGAAACAAAATAATCTCACACATAACAAATGTATTCCCATAAAGAGGAAAGCTAATTTACAAGTTACATAGTTACACACATAGGGAAAAAAAGCAAAGCAACCTAAAAAAACCCACCCCACACTCCCCTAAACATCTGGGGTACCTTATGTAGTATACTCAGTCCAAACACTTTGTTTTTCCATTGGCACTTGCAGGAACTGCTTATATCAAAGTCACTATCTGTGAACTTCCCAAGACCTCCAGAACTGCAACAAATTACTTTTATGCTTATTACACTAGGTTTAGGCAGATGTTCAAGCAAAAAATGTTTTTTCCCCCCAAACAAATTACATGGAGAGTTCAAAGAAGTGTTTGTGAAGTTTGAGTCTTTGATATTCAATTAATCATGGACAGGACTCCACCAAGGTCTCTAAATTCTCCCTCTGCTCAGTCTAACTCATTGGAAGATGCCCTTAAAAGGCACATAAAGGACACCAAAAGAGTAGAGACTAATCATACTTATTTCTAGTGCAGCCACCAGGGAGGAGAGGGGGAGAGAAGAAAGATTAAACCACCCCATTTCCAGGGATGCTCTGGATCACTTCTTTCAAAAGCCCACACACAAACTCCACGCTGTTTCAAAGGAAACAGATGAAATAGTCCTGCAGAGCTGCACATGAATAATGGCTCCACGTCACAAAAATAGGACTTGTGCTGTGCAGTCTGGGACTAACATGAGAGTTCTAAGACTATTAGACTGCTTCTTTACTGTCAAATGCCACTACTTTTTCATTTTACACAAAATACCAGCAAAAACAATTTTCTTCCAAATTTTGGTTTATCTGATATTTGCAGATAGATTCATGAAACACACCTGAACCAACTCTGTTCGCTATTAGTTTGAGTGCCCTGTGCTTCTCCTGCCCGGTTTATTGCACAACTATTGGTTATGGCAGCAAGCAGATGGAACAACGAAGAGGGACACATATAAGAACGCACTTGGATACATCAGGGAGACCAAATTCCTAGCAAATTACATGGCAAAGATGTAAAATCTGACACCATTCAGACTAAAAATGTTGCCAAGTATATTGATGCAATTCAATCCCAACAAAAAAGAAGTTTATATAAGTTCAATGTGGGTCAATAAGTGACGAAAATATTAACCTTTCAGCTCCAGGGCTTACACTTGATCCCTGTTTGTTCCCCTAGGACTTTCAAGAGAGGTTTACTGGTACCACTGTGGTAATTCCTCTTTTGCAGCACAACTACACTGCAGTAACACCTCATTGGGAAATCTCTCTCCTCTTTGCCTTCTACTACAAACCAAAAGTGAATCACAGTGAAACTTCTTCCAAGCTGGCACCCAGCAGGCCAACAGAAATTGGCTGCCCCATACAGTTGGCAAGTAATCCGTGAGAAGCTCAGCCATGGTGATAACACAACAGAAAACCTGAACGCAGCTTCAAATGGCAGGAGAACCACTCCTGCCCACCCCTCCTTGCCAAACACTTTCTGCTGGGGCAGTGACATGTGCAGCAGAGGCTGACTGCCTCCACTGATGGGAGCATGTTATAAAAAATATGCTGACTTAACCCCTAAAGGCTTCTATCCCATGCTGCCAAAGAAAACAAGTTCCAAGTCACCAAATTACTCTTATTTTGTTTTCTATGCCATTTTTTTCCTAATAGTACAAGATAGCATTGTATCACTTTGCATCTTTCACTTTAACCTACTGCAGCATTATGTACACACAATCATCGCAACCTCAATCGCTCACTAAATCTATGTTAAAATAGTCTTCAGTTTTAATAATTAAAACTTACACTTAACTTGACAGGGAATAAATATCTGTTGTCGCTGGTGGCATTAAAGCAAGCATCAAGAAATCTGCCACCTAGCCTTGGAAAATGCACACAGAAAGCTACCCAGCAGAGATGTTCCCCTGGAGTGCAGTATCCCTGTAAAGGAACACAGGGAATGAAGCTTTCCAAAGCACAAACTACATCTTGCTTCACAATCACCTGGCACACTGTTGCAACTAAATCATAAGCTTCTGTGTTACACAATGCTTAAGAAACCCCAAAAAACAACAAAACCCAAGCCAAACTCACAAGAAAATGAGAAAAAAAACCCTACCTTCTGTCAAAATCAGATTAAGACTCCTACTGTTCAATAGCTGTGGTCTCTCATGGCTCAGATTGTACTCTCATGCTTTCTAGTGATGTGCAATGCTTCAGGGAGAATGTAAAGTAACAGCAAGAAGAAAGAGAAGGCATCTGAAAGGAGCTCTATAGGAACAAGACACTAAAAATCAGACACTGGTGTGCCCCCGAGCTGAAGACCACCAGCCAGTAGAAAATTCTGCCTCGTGGTTTGGGTATCTGCTAGGAGGTCCCAGGAAATACAGCTAGTAAAGGCACAGAACTACAGTCCAATTCACCTACAGAACAGACCTTACTCCAAACAAATACTTAGTTCATTAGAGATTTAGCGCTGATTACCAAGCTCAGTTCAAACATCAGTACTTCACAGGCCCTGATAACACGTGTGCCAAATCAGACTTGTGAGACAGAAAACCAGAAGAGCAGTTGGTCAACAGTTCAGACTCTAAACTCTACTGCAGCCAAGGTCAGCCTCATTTACGTGTTTTTGCAGACTGTGGTCTGCAAAATATCTGCTAACACTGAATTTGTAAGGAACATGGTAATACAGCCCATCATTTTCCAGGACAGCATCCCAAAGCAAGCTGGGATCAGGAAAAATAGGAAACAGCTTTAGTAATGGTTTGTTCAGAGCAGTCTTTTAAAAAATAATCAGCCATCTAACTAATGATTATTTAGTTCTGCAACCATGTGCACGTCCACAGAAGAAAAAACACTGCATAAGTAGACAGAAGAGATTGAAGTCTTTTTGCTGTAACACGTTAATACATTTAAGATATTCCGTGTTCTGGTAGATGGGTATGGAAGGGAAAGGAATCTTTCATTATTTCTGTGCAACAATTAATGAATTAAGTGAATACAAACAGCATTTCTGAACAGTAATTCCTTAGTTTTTGGTCCACCCACACAGACTACATTTTCAAGTGAGAACAAATGGCTGACTTGATCTCTGGTAAATCAAGAATAGAGCAATTCTTTCCAGGCTTCAAGAAGTTGCAGAAAACAGTGAAACAGAAATACTGTGAAAAATTCTGTGGAAAAACTCTGTGAAAGCAGGAAATAATGCAACTTTCTTCCATGCAAGTCATTCAAAAAAATCATAAAACTATGATTTTTCTTATTGCACTGTAGTCAAATATTCCATGGCACTGTACAGTCAAGCTGCAGTTGCATCAACACGTCACAGATACATGACCAGTTATGTGAGAAAAAAGTGACTAAAAAATATGGTTGAGTAAGATAGTCATACACCGCATGCTTTAACTGGTGGGTCTTTTTCCATTAAGCAAGACTCAAAATAGAGCTTTCAACAGAATCTAAATTTCAGCTTTAGATCAAGGATGGGTTTGATTTCTAAGTTAAGGGCTTCAGTCCCCTCTCCTACCAAATAGCTAGCTAATCAGGTACACTTAAGTCATCTGCCTTAAGGAGTTATCTTAATCTGAATTTACTGACATGATGCAAAACAGCTCTTTTAAAAGTCAAAGGGAAGGATTAAAAACTGGTTCTCATTTCTGTTGTCCCTCTTTGTCAAAACATCTCTGCTTAAAATAATTCAGGCTACTAGATGAAATCAAACACATCTGCTATAGCACAATTTTAGTTTTGTATATATAAATAAATACATGTGTTTATATAATCCAGGCTACACTACTTCTTACCTGCAAACACATCTGTCACTGTACAATTTTATATATTTAATATATAAAGTATGTTTAGATATTAATACATTCATTATTTATAAATATACTAAAATATAAATCAATTTTCCAGATTTTTTTACTTATGTGGAAGAAACCTGCACATTTCTGTGCACATGACTGTGGAGTCATCTGCAGAAAGGCTATTGCACTGCACTCTGGAGCTGGCACTGCCTGCCACATCTATTAAGTGATTATTTTCACTCTGACCTTAACAGTTCTGAGCCTTCATAACTAGCCACAGCTGTAACTCACTGCCCATGATCCAACAGCTGTCTCCAAGACCCCCAAGTCAGCAGGAACTAGTTTCCGTGACCAAGGT